TTTGAGAGCTAGAGCTGCAGGATTTGCTGAGCAATGTGCCGTGGGGTCGAGGGAAGGGTTTAGAATGGCTCCCGGATTTCTCCTCTGGGAAACCAGTTCCACAGAAAGCAGGCTCATTAGACTCATTAATGAGGGGCAGGCACCCAGCACACACACCTACGATGGGGTGATGGCACTTTGCTCCAGGACATTGAGATGGAGGGAAATGTAAACGGATTGCAACCCAGACACCAGCTGAGGTCAGCCTGTATCTTAAAATCTGGATAAGGCTGATTGGATTCACGTTTCTTTCTTCTTGTTTTTTTTTTTTTTTTTTTTTTTGAGGAATATTGGCCCTGAGCTCACATCCCTGACCCATCTTCCTCTACTTTATATGTGGGACGCCTAGCACAGCATGGCTTGCCAAGTGGTGCCATGTCCGCACCTGGGATCCGAACCGGTGAACCCTGGGCCACTGAAGTGGAACGTGTACACTTAACCGCTGCGCCACGGGGCCAGCCCCGAATTCTCAGGTTTAGATTGTTCTGGCTACTTCTGACTCTGAGCTGCTGCTTCTGGTGAACCACTGCCATTATGGTCACCCTCACCATGCCAGACTCATGGCCTGTCCTTCACCATGTTGGGCCAGATGCTGTCTTCTTTGTCGGGAGGAAGTAGTAATCACTTGAGGCCCTAAACACACAGCAGACATTATACAAGATTTGGGGTGTCGGAGGAAGTTTACGCCACAGAGGTGCAAAGAGCAAACAGTATTTAATTACCTCTCAGATCTTCTCATTTTAGAATATTCTTGTGGCATCTCAAGGCAGCCACTTCTCACTGGGGGTTCCTTCCCACCCTGCCCCTCATTCTCTAACAATCTCGTTGATTAAAACTGCTGCCAGTGCTACTGCCCCACTTCCCAATTATTTCAGAAAATTCCACATTCTTCTTACTCTACACTGCAGCAAGAGCTCCCTCTAACCCTTGTGAGCTCAGCTCTAGGCCCATCTTTTCATTTCCAAAACTCATCACGTTCCTAGTTGAGGAAAAGAGCATCTCAAGATGAACCTCATCCACTCTGCTTAGAGGGTAAATTTTGAATATCATTTGTATTTTTAGTTTTAAAATATCATTTTTGTTGTAGATTATAGTTTTAAATATTTTTTTCAACATGACACACTTTTAAAAGATTATGAGAAATGGAAAGTAGTATTTTCCTTCAATTACTGTCTCCCACCTCTGCCCCAGCCCCCTGGGAACTTCCTCCTTTGGTAGCTGGAAACCCAAGGTGAAGAGTCAGGCACTGTTGTCTGTGGCCCCTCTGTCTGTGCGCATGCGTTGGGCTGGCCACTCTTGGCTCCCTGGGTTTCCACTCCCTACCCGCTCCGCCATCAACTGGATGGCTTGCTCAGTGCTGTTCTCCAGTCTCTCCTGATGATAGCACACCCCTGGCAGGAAGGTGGCTGAAATTGAGAGGGGCTGATGGACTGGAGAAAGAAGGTGTTTTTTTTTCTTACAGAGCCTTGTTCAGAATGTTCATCTTAGAACCAATCTGGAGGACATCCTTGCCCTAGTTCCCAGCACCTAGTTGGTCATTGTGGCATCAGCATCATTTCTTATGACTCTGCCAGGCAGACAGGTCTTTGGCATCTTTTGAGTTCACCTCAGGACACCAAACGGCTGTGGCTGCTGGAATGGGAGGGTCCTGGCTCCAATAACACCAGGGACCTATTAGGATCCCTCCAGGGGAGGGGTGGGGTGTGTACAGGAAACCGACACTCTCCAGGCCATGAGTCCTCATGACTGTCTGTCCATCCACCCAAGAGACAAGCATCTGCTGTTGTCAGAAACTGCCCCTGGCATTAGGCATTGAGAGGAGTGAGAAATGATGATGTCCCCATCCAGTGCACAGTCCAGTGGAAAAAGATTCCGATAAATTACTGCAAATGTGCCAAGAGCGCCCCCTAGGGATGCAGAGGAGGGCCGACACGAGTGGGTTCTCTCCCAGGGCAGGAGTGGTGGTGGAGAGGGCATTTCATGTGCAGACTGAAAAGTGTTTCATGAGCAGCTTTCTGTGGCTAGAATCCTGGGTGCACAAGGCGATGTGAGTGTAGAACGGAGGCTGCAGCAGACTAGCACAGACTTCAGCGCTGGGAGCTCCAACTCCAGCCTGAGGCCAATGGGGCATCGCTAATGGGAATGATGGGACTGGGTCTCATAAAATACACTCGGCAGCAGAGATGAAGCCCTGTGGCCGACAGAGTAGTTAGTGCGGATGCTAGGCTTTGTATCCAGTCCTCACTCTTCCGCAAGTGCATGGAGGGCAGGGCCCATGGCTGTTGTGGTCACCACTATTGCAAGCCCAGACCCTGGTACACCTTGAGAGATCTTAGAGAGTTATAGACTGAATGTTGGCGACCCCCAAATTCATATTTTGAAATCCTAATCCCCAAGGTGGTGATATTTGAAGGTGGAGCCTCTGGGAGGTGATTAGGTCATGAGGGTGCAGCCCTCATGCATGGGATTAATGCCCTTATATGAGACCCCAGCAAGCTCTCTTGCCCCTTCTGTCATGGGAGGACACAGCCAGATGGCATCTGTGACCAGGAGGCAGGATCTCACCAGAAGCCAGATCTGCTGGTACCTTGAGCTTGGACTTCCCAGCCTCTAGAATGGTAAGGATTAAATGTCTGCTGTTTAAGCCCCCAGTTCGTGATATTTTTGTTACAGCAGCCCAAGCTGAGACAGCATGAACGCAGTCAGAAGGTGAGGCAGCCTGGGAAAGGTGGCACTCCTTGTAGACACGTGCTCCAGGCATCACACACCCATGAGAGCCGGGGTTGGGAGCAGAAGGCCCGGGGCTAGCGCTGGTGCTCAGCCTGTGCCAACACAGTGAGGTGCTGCCCGGGACGCCGCCACAGCAGGGACGTGGTCCGCATCCCCCTTCAGGAGCAGCTGCACTTTTCTGCTGGGGTCATTCGGCTCTTTCTGACAGGTATCGATGCCTCAGGCTGCTCAGTCCCTGAAGGGCAGCAGTGGTGGGTGAGGACAAGACAGGACTCATCTTTCTGGCTGGTGGACAACCCGACCACAGCCTGCGGCCTCCTGGCTCACCTGCCACCCCTCCCCAGGGCCCATGAGAACCCCTGCCTTTACGGTTGTGAGGGCAACGGTGAAGTCAACTTCAAGCCGCGAAACAGGGCACCCCAAAGTTCTGCTTTCTCAAGGAAAAAGGAAAATAACTCTTCCATCAGGCCAGCGTTTGATTGGATTAAAAAAAGTGTATTGGATTTCCAATACTAAATAAAAACATGAAATTGTTTTTTAAAAAGCCATAGAGTTTACAGCATCGACTACAGAAAAGGCCAAACAAGTGTGTACAGACTAGTCCCCAGCAGTCCTCCAGGCCCCCTCCAGCAGGCAACAAGGCAGCAGACACGTTCGTTCCACATCCTCCTGAAGGCAGCTGCCAAGCAGCAGCTCAACTAGACATTACGAGACACAATGGTTTAACTTCAAAAGTCACAGGCAAATGTAAGAAAATGTATTCAACTGTGAAAAGGTGCAATACAGAATAGCTTTCCTTTTTCTTAATTTAAAAAAATCCCAACTCTGAACAGTTATTTTATTTAAAAATAGGTCCTCCCCCCGCCCCAGTTCTGTGGCAGTGTCCAGGTACCAAGGCCCTGAGGTAACAGACGCGTCAGGGTTCATGGGAGGGAATGCCCTGAATACCAAGTGTGTTTCTTTGGGCAAAAGGTAAGCCAGGCTGGGGAATCTCGGCCTCCTGGCGTCCAGAGCGCACCGCGTGCCCTCGTCAGGATCAGTGTAAGTGCACTGGTTTTCGAGAATCCTGCCTGGCACTATCCTGTGAGCAGCTAGCACGGCAGCAGGAGTTCCAGCATTGCACTTTTCATTGCCTCCAAAGTAATAAATATAAAGAGCTCATCTTCTAGAAAAGCAAATGTGTGATAAGACCTAAAAAGGGGGAACCAACACATAAAGGCAAGCGAGGTGCCTGTGGGGCCGGGGCAGTGCTTAGGGCCCCCCAACCGGGGTCTCCGCAGCTGACCTCCTGTTGGCTGTGAACCAAAGCCCGATTTGCCTTCTGCACTGCCTTCCACACTCTCTTCTGGGGATGTGATGGGGAGCAGGGAAGATGCCTGAGGGTCAGTCCTGTCTCTTTTCATAACATTTTCTTAATATTAAAAAAGCCCACCTCAGCTCCTTACCTTTGTAAGAACACAAGAACTATATGCAAAGGCTTGTGTGTGTGGCGGGGCCTCTCAGCATACCTCAGAGACCTCCTGCCCCCATCCGTCCCCCTGTTCTAATCAGGGGCTGAGCTGGGCTGCTGGCAGGGAGGAGGGGCCAGCTGCCTCCTCTGTCCCTGTCCCCTGCTACTCAAAGAAGAATGTTCAGAAAGAAGGGGGAGCCTCCTGGGGGCTGCAGCCTCTGCCAGCCTCAGTCTTGCTAGTGCTTTTCCTAAGGGCTCTGGAACATGAAAGTCAGAGATGGCCTGGCTGAAGAGAGGACCTAGAGAGAAGCAGGGAGTCCTATGTGGAAACAAAGGTCCTTCCTTAACTTCCAGCTTCCCCAATGGGAACAATGAAACAGCAGGAAAGTCTCCATCCTTTTCTTGGATTTCCCAGGATCGGGGTCAGGCTCCCTGTCCTGCATCACTCCTGCAACTGGCAACACAGCTCCTGGCTCCTCGGTGTGGTCATTCTTATCAGGACATGATCAAGACATCAGGCAGCTAAATCCTCGAACCCACCTATGCACAGAAAAATTTTTAACTAGATCCAAATGAAACTCCAGTTGCAACTTAGTGACAATAGAGACAGACATGCCGGGAACGGACAATAAGGAAGACGCTTCCATTCTCTGCAGGCTTCTGGAAGAAAGTACAATGACTGAAACATTCACAGGACCTCAGCAGCCCTTCCACTTCCCATTCCCAACCCCCCAGCCCTCCCCCACCCCCATACTGAAACTGCACAGAAAGCAACAAACAAGTCTTTCCAATGTTACATTTCATTCAAATAGATCTGTAATCTCACAGTGATGAGAGGAGAAAGTCAGGCCTTTAATAATTATAATAAAAAAATAATAAAAAATCTTACAAACAGCAATGCAACATTTCCTCCCCCCTCAAAGTGATGGATTAACAGCTGGTAGAGGATGCAATGACTCAGAATTAAAAAATAAGAACAAAAACAAAAAACAAGCCAACCCTTGGAACAACCCACACTGTCAATGACTTTCCATATATAATTCAAACAAGCAGTCAAATATCAACCACTTGTGGGAACACCACGGACTTCCTTGGTTTTTGATAGCGTTTTTCTTTTGAAGGTAAAATAAAATAGGACACAAACAAAATCATACATAAATGCCAATGTCTACACTCCATAAAGGCGACGCAGTTGCAGCACGAAGACACAGCCTGATCACAAAGTGAAATGTAGGTTGCACTTCTTGCCTCTTCCCTGGACACATGATTTTGGCCCATGGTGCCCAGTCCTGCAGGGTTTTAGCAGGCAAAGGGAAGCTGCTTTGACACACGCTTCTTCCAGGCTGACCAGGAGAAGGCAGGTGGTCAGGCCTGGAGCCAGACCACGTTGGGAGCTGGCTGGTCTGCTTGCTCACTCTGTGTTCTCAAGTGCTGTCCTCTCGTACTCTGTACAACTCCTTGTTTTCAAGGCTAAGTCCCAAGACGTCTAGACTCAGGTCTGGAGTCATGTCCTGGCGAAGGTCGTCATGCTGTTGTGATGGCGTTTAGGTCCTTCATTAGTCCTTCCAGGTGGGCCATCTCTTTGGTCAGCTCATCTGGTTCATAGCTCTGTGGAAAAGAGAACACTGTGACTGGGCATGCCGAGGAGCCGTCCAGAAGGACAGCCCAGAGAGAGAAGTCAGAGTGTCAAGTGGTCAGTGGTAAACCTGCCCCAAAAGACTGGACTACCAAAACCCCGGCTGGCCCAGGAGAGTCAGAGATTGCAGGATGTGCCCAAGTCACTAAGATCCCAGGCCAGTAATCACTCATTTCTGTACACTGCAAAATGCCTTTCCCCCAACACATACTGCCAGGGTCAAATGTCCTCACAGGCAGAGGCCCTGCGGCCTGCCCCTGCTGGGTCTCCGTCACAGTCAACACAGGTGGTGTGTCCCCTGGATTTCCGGGCCCCAAGCTCTCCTCTTAGAGCCCCTGTACCTGGAGATGCAGAGGCAGACACATTTACTGGCATATGAGAGTGGAAGATCAAGCAGAGAACCCACTGTCTTTTATTTTGAGAGCAACCACTCAAGCACCTTCTCCTCTAGCATCCAGCTCAGAAGAGGTCATGAAGCAGAACCGAGGGGTGAAAGAACACACAGATGGTTCAAACCAAGACAAGACCAGACAGACAGGAGAGAACTAAAAGGAAGGCAGGCGGGTGGCTGGGGGATACAAATTCTCTAGCTAATGTAACAAGCTAATCCAAGATACACCAGCGTAGGAATGGAGAAAGCAGATCACGTCCTCAGCACAGTTCCTGGCTCAGAGGAGAGGCTCAGTGCATGTCTGCTGAATGAATGAGTGACCTGCTTCACCCTTCTGGGCCAGCACAGACTATCAGTGTGATCAGCACTCTCTCGGGCTGTGGGACATGCACCTAGACATCCTGGCTGGGCTGATGGCCCCGTGAACTTACACTCTCAGAGTCTTCCAGCATCCTTGTGGTCTCCTGCACGTCAGGGGCACTGGGCACCACCACTGGCATAGGAGGCCGGCTCCTTCCTAACGTCCCGATGGAGGCTGTCTTCACCGAGTGGAGGTGATGGTTGAGAGCTGAGGGGAAAAGGGCACCATCAGGTGTGGGCCCGAGCCTGCTCCCCCCAGACCTCATGAAGGCACCTCAGGTCCAAACGCTGCTGCTGGGTGAGGGATGCACCCAGACCCAGTGCAGAGATCCTGTTCTGAAAAGGCACTGCTCTGAACAAAATGAAGAGGGAGAAAGTGGGGCATCTAACAGGCCAGAGAAAAGACTCCATTTGGTTTTAGAAAACTAACCTCCCAGTCCAGTGGTTCTCAAAGTGTGGTGGTTCATGGACCCCTTGCAGGATGTCTGGGAGGTCAAACTCTTCGTAATAATACCAAGGCATTTTCTGCCTTTGCACTGACGGTAAAAAGCAACAGTGGGTAAAACTGCTGGAGCCTTAGCCTAAATTAAGGCAGTGGCACCAAACCGTAAAGTCATTCACTGACACCACAGTTTTTAAAAAAGCCAGTTTAACTTAAGATCATCCTTAATGAGGGCCGGCCTGGTGGTCCAGCAGTAAGTTCGCACGTTCTACTTCTCGGCGGCCCGGGGTTCACCGGTTCGGATCCCAGGTGCGGACATGGCACCACTTGGCAAAAGCCAGGCTGTGGTAGGTGTCCCACATACAAAGCAGAGGAAGATGGGCACAGCTGTTAGTTCAGGGCCAGTCTTCCTCAGCAAAAAGAAGAGTGGCAGTAGTTAGCTCAGGGCTAATCTTCCTCAAAAAAAAAAAAAGATCATCCTTAATGAAGTAGTGAAAATTATTTTATTAAATCTCGACCTGATTACACATCTTTTAAATAGTCTATGTGATAAAATGGAAAGTATGCATAAAATACTTCTGCTGTATACCAAAGTATGATGGCTGTCTTAAATAAAGGCATTTGTGATAATGTGGCTGTGAGCCAAACTGTCACTTTTATCATGGAACACCAATGCTGGTTCAAAGAAAGATAGACAAACTGGTTAATCAGACTTGAGTATTTGGCAGACATTTTCCAGAAAGTGAATGAAGTAAGCCAGACACTTCAAGGAAAGCAATGGACAGTATTTATTACCAAAGATAAAACTTAAGGTTCAAGTGAAAACTAGAATTTAAAAAAACTTGGCTCTGCCAAGCTTGAGAAGCTTCCCAATACTTACAGACTGTGGTGATATTAACGAATGCATTTGTAGATATCCTACAGTGAAATGTATCAACATGTGGAGGATCTGTATAACTTAGTGAACCAATATTTTCCAAATGACCAATGTGTGATGTTCGCTATGCATTCAAAGTACAAGACAGATGGCTTTTAATGGAACAGAGCATGAATAGTTCATGGATATGGTTTCTGATTCCATATTACAAACAAACCTATAAGAAACTACAACTTGTTGGGGCCAGCCCAGTGGTGCAGTGGTTAAGTGCATACGTTACACTTCGGCGTCCTGGGGTTTGCTGGTTCGGATCCCAGGTGCGGACCTATGCACCGCTCGGCAAGCCATGCTGTGGTAGCCGTCCCACAGATAAAGTAGAGGAAAATGGGCACGGCTGTTAGCTCAGGGCCAGTCTTCCTCAGCAAAAAGAGGAGGATTGGTGGCAGATATTAGCTCAGGGCTAATCTTCCTCAAAAAAAAGAAAAAAGAAACAAGAAACTACAACTTGTTGAGTTTTGTTGCAGTATCAAAAAATAATATCCATAGGTAACCGAAAAGGTTATAAAAATACTCTTCCCTTTACAACTACATATCTGTAAGGCCAGATTTTCTTCTTATAATTCAACCAAAACAATATATTGCAATAGACTGAGTGGAGAAGCAGGTATGAGAATCCAGCTGTCTTCTACTAAGCCAGACACGAAAGAGATTTGCAAAAATCTAACATAATGCCACTCTTTTCGCTATATATTTTGAAAAAGTTATTTTTCATAAAAATATGCTATTTATCTTAACATGATATATTTATTGGCATTTTTAAATGGACTAATAAAATAGTTTAAAAATTTCTGTTTTAATTTCTAACACAGTAAATATGGATAGGCATAACCCATTGAGGAAAAGCTTTTTCATGGCCTCAATAGCTTTTAGGAGGATAAGGGGGTCCTGAGACCAAAAAGCTTGAAAACCACTGACTTATGCTGAAACAAACCATCCTAACAGATAATAGTAAGGAAGAGCAGAGAAAAAGGACATGCCTTTGAGGTCAGGGACTCTTACTGAGCCGTGTGAACTCAGGGAACTGACTTCCCTTCCGCACGGTTCATTTTCTCGTCCTAAGGTTCCTCTTTGTTTCCAAGTCTTGGCCTCCCTGACCCTCCTCTAGCTTGTAGGAATCCTACGGAGTGAGGCTCTGGGAGGCTGGGCAGACTAGATCTGTTGTCCACTGGATTTGACCACCAAGGGTTCTGCACCCAACACAATTCAACAAGTCAGCCCTCACTCCCCACCAAATTCTTCTCTGGTTCATACGCATTCCCGAGGGAGGGAAGCTCATATACTCCCTGAGAGGGACAATGACACCCTGCTACTCTAAATTGCTGGGATAAGCTTGGAGAATATTTGCTTTGTTACTTTTCAAAGAAGAGGTGACTTCTGCCATAAGCCAGAGCCAAAGGGTCCCTCCAGTGGTGCCACTGTCCTCACTCACCTTGCTGGGACAGTAATGGTGTGCTTGGCAACGTGGGATCATAGGTGGGAGGACCTGGGGGTGGGATTGCCGGCACGGCGAAGCTCTTCAAGGGGTGGGAAGGGCGAACGTGAGCCGTAGGAAGACTCTGGCCTGAGTCTTCTTCTTGGGAACTGGCCAAGTAAGAAGAGCTGGTAGCACCTTCAGGATCCTGGTGATCAGTACAGCACGTTTGAGACGAGGAGGCAGGCATGGTGTCAGTGCTGGGGGTATTTCGAATGGATTCTACAGCAGGAAAGTCTAAACGTTAGCATTTCTTTCACCATGAAACAGACGCACATCCCAGGGCTCTGGCAACTTCTAAGGGCCCCTAAACCAGCTCAATAAGCACTCAGGATCAGTGCTAGTCCAAGGGAACATGGGTTAGCACCACTGCCAAGGCTAAGTAAGAATGGACTAATCTAAAAGAGTCCCAAACAATTTTGTCCATCAGCTGCTGGAATTTTTTCACCTAAATTTTTCACCTATCACTTTCAACTTTTTTTAGCTGTACTTTTTACAGCTAAGTGGTTACAATTTTACAGACAAAGTTCTCCTTGGTACTTACGACGGAGCACATATAAAGGTTTCTGAGACTATTGTCTATTAAGAAATAAATAAGTATAAAAGAAAATTAAAAACTTCACTCATTGATTGACAATCTTAGAGACTGGCCTTTCAGATACTATGTCTAGTCACCAAGGCTGGCTGGGTACCTGACAAGTACCAGCTCTGCGCATGACGCCTGGTGATTACTGCAGCAGAGGCAATGCCACAGGCCCTGCGTGCCCTCTGGGGACTGTGCATGGCCTCACCAGAGCAACAGCCCCACAGCTCAAGGGACAGCTGGACAACCCAACAGTCCAGGGGGCTGCAAACAGCTTTAGGATCATGCTATAGAAAGGGGGTTTGGGTCCAGAGAAAGAAGTGGGGCAGATCACCCTGAAGAAGGGGAAGACTCAGGAAGAACATGATAATCTCAAAATATGTGAAAAGAGGTCTGAGTTGTTCTGGAAGCAGCATGGTGGGGTAGGAAAAGCAATAGCTCTCAAGTCAGAGAGACCAGGACTTGAATCTTGGCAAACTAGCTCATGAACTTGGCCATCACCGAATCTCTCTGTTTCTTCACCTATAAAACAGGGAGAGTAACACATAATTCACTGAGGATTAACTGAGAAGATGTGTGAAGAGTGCTGAACACAGGGCTTGAATAAGTAGTGAGGGTCTTCTCTTTGTGAATTACTGAGTGCTCACCCTGAGCAGCCCTGTGCTAAGTGCTCTGCCTTCATCAGCCCTCTCAGTCCTCAAGGTCACTTGGAGACACTGGGAGGTTAAGCACTGGCCCAGGACTCAGAATGAGTACAGCAGGAACCTGAATCCCTGCCCTTGACTCCTAAGCCCATGTTCCGAACCACCACACTCTAGACTGCCCTTCCACGCCCATACCACCCACCCCAGACCCTGCAGGGGCAGAAGCAGCACCAAGGACCAGGGAGACCACATGAGGAAGACTTTTCCAACAGTGTAAGCTGGTGCAGACCACTATCCCCACCCTGAGAAGGGGCCTATGGGACACCAGCTCAGGGCAACAGGCTGCCCCAGGTAGCCTGAAGGAGGGCCTCCCCTGACTCCTAGAGGCCTCAACCTTAAAAAGGAAAATAAGCCCTTTTAAGTAGTGATACATGAGCAACCTGCAGAAATCCAACCTATTTCCCTGACTTTGTTGCTGAGGTAGGAATAAATCTGCTCCCTTGGGCTCTCAGGAGATAGGCCATGCCGGTCATGAGTGCTACCTCTGGGCTTAAAGGTCTTGGGTCCCAGGGATGAGGGATTCACACACCCTACCAAGTGTCAAAAGCCTGGCTGTGATAACCCAACCAGACCTAGCTCACTTCTCACCCTCTCAAGGGGTGCACTGAGGGCCTCACTTCTTACACTTCCTCAAGCCTGCCGTCACCACAGCTGGGGAGCTGCTGGTCCCATTCTGAGTGACCCTGGCCAGGTGAAAGCTGGTCATGGAGGGCAGCAGGGAGTAGGGGAGAGAAAGCAGGCTCTAGCCTGGACCACATTAGCCTGCACTGGCACACAGTAGGTCAGCTCCAGGCACACAGGCCTCCTGGGCTACCTCAATTGCCTTAATCTGATGTATAAGCTTCCGAGGGCCAAAGAAATGTGAAAAAGGAAAACAGAGTTGCCTACATGAGTAAGAACTCTGGCCTGCTGGCACGGACTAGGGCCACCCTGTACAACTCCAGGGGGCACCAGGCACACCTTGTTTTCTGTGAAGGGTGTGCCCTGAAATTGTGCAACATAACTGGCCCACAAGGAAAACAATGCTGTAACTAAAATTCCTACTTTAGTTGAGGGGCCTCCTTCCTGACTGATTTACCTCTTGGAGTTAAGACACACTAAGTTCACATTGGCCAAGGGGCTTGGACAAGTGGAAGTGCTCTTCCTACATCAAGTGGTGGAGACACAGTAAATGCTCTTAGAGAAAGGACTGCCATGCCTAGCCCACTTGGACAGGGCTTGTGGCAACCCTGAGCTCAAGAAACACAGGAAATATAATAGTAAGATGACTTTGATCAATTCTAGACACTTGCTCTACATTTCAAATCCATCTTCAGTGACTCTATCACTAGGTTTTACCTTCTTCTATCGCTCTGGTCATTAAAGCAAGGAACCCTTCAGTAATGCAAATCGTTACTTTTCCCTTGCTCCACTTTCTGCCTAGTCCATACATAAGGGAACTTTCACCAACACCAGACCATGTGGATGAAGGCTGGGTGGGAGCTGCCATGCTTCTTGTCAACTCTCAGATGCCTGCTAGCCCAGGAGGAAGGGGAAGGCGGCTGATCTGATTGGGAAGAGCCTGCCACGCACTCAGACAGGCCCGCATCCTAGTGGGGGAGATTCTTCTGCCCTAAAAATGGAGAAACACGGGGTCAGCCCTGCGGCCGAGTGGTTAAGTTTGCGCACTTCGCTTTGGCGGTGTGGGGTTTTGCCAGTTTGGATCCTGGGGGCGGACATGGCACCGCTCATCAGGCCATGCTGTGGCGGCGTCCCACATAGCACAACGAGAGGCACTCACAACTAAAATATACAACTATGTACTGGGGGGCTTTGGGGAGAAGAAAAAAAAAAAGATTGGTAACAGATGTTAGCTCAGGTGCCAATCTTTAAAAAAAAAAAGGGGGGGGGAGAAACAGGGGCAGGACACAAAAACTGCTTTCTGCAAGCAGGTCTGGACAGCTGCTTTCTCGTCCCTGTTCTATGTGAGACTGTTTGTGAGGTACACTGGTGCTCCACATGGCCTTCTGGAGACAGTCTTTCCCTAAAGGCAGGACCCTCAGCCTGGATTTGGAGGGAGATGGTAGGAAGGCCAATTTTAGACATGAGTTCAAGCAGCATTCTCCAAACCAAATAAAGGTTTGGGAGTAAACAACTTTGGGAGTTACCAGGCATCCCTTAATACAGCTTTGATCGTCATTTGATGTTTTAGGTATGTTTATAATTGATCAAAACTTAAAGGAGAAGGGGATATTACTGGCAACCCAAACTTCTAGCATCAAGTTCTGAGGTTCTTTTAAAATGGAATTCACTTGAAATTCCCTTATTTCCCAGAATCACCAAAACTTAGTTCTACTAGTAAAATCATAACTATTAACAGACAGGTTTCAAATGATGGAAAAAGAGTATGTAGTATATATGAGAACTTATTAGATTTGCACCTTAAAACCGAGAGGATGGTAATTAATTTTCAATTAATGAGGAACAATAGTATTTTGTTCCATTTACTGTTCCCTCACCTTCACTATTTCCTCCTTAAAACTGTTTTGATAATGTTGTTTCTTAAGATTTCCAAATAGGGATATGTTTATCTGGCAATGTATTTCTTTAAATACAATACAGATTGTTAGGCTGATTTCCTAGCTCTTTTTTAGAGATGATCTATGCCTGTGCGGCCCTTTTTAATTTCAACAATCCACTAGACAACCTGAGGTTTACAACATGTACAAACTCAACATGGCCACTGGCCCTGCTGCCTCTGGATGTTGTTTTTACTTTGGTCCATGGCAGAAGCATGTATGTGAGACCAGCATAAGAAGTACCTTATGGCCGCCCAACATTAGTGTGACTGTAGGGCAAAGGCTACCTCTAGGGTCTGAAAATCCCCCAGAATGTGTTTTCCTTTCAAATTGGAGGATTAAAAAAATGAACAAAGTGAAAATATGACTGAATTAAGATGTAAGTTGATGGAACAAGATGTGGTTATGTGATTAGAACTACTGTGGTTTTACTAAAAGGTCACCTTACACTGAGCACTTCAAACTTTGGGAGAAAAATGGGGTAAATTTTACAGAAACAAATTTGAGTCAGTAACAGAAATGTTATGATAAATAACAACACTGAGAAAAATTCCAAATCCTTCTAAGCAGGGCAAGTCCTTCCCCATTTCAGCTTGCCAACTCTTTAAGAATGCTTTCCATATGGGGCTCGATCCTCATCTCTCACCTGTGGAATTGGCCCTGTCTGAAAGGGACATGGATGTGCCAATGGGCCATGGGCTGCCCGGGTGGTAGAGATGACTGCGAGCTGGAGAAGCGAGGCTGCTGGAGTGGAAATGATGGTGAGGGTTATCGAGGGAATGGATGGGATGGGCACTAATCACAGCTGTGAATGAACACAAGACAGAAAAATGCTTAACATGCTTGCACAGACACACACAAACCACAGTTCAAGTGCAAAGCTATCCCCCCTCCCCCTCCCATACAGTACCACCACTCCCTTGGCTTTTTGGTGGCAGCTGGCTGGATTTGGACAGCTAGCCATGGATTTTACTTTTGTTTTAAAAAATCAACAAATGCCTACCCATGCATGTATATATATATGTGTATGTGTATGTATGTATATATATATATATACCCACACACACACACACAGAAAAAAAAGTCTGAGGAATATATATCAAAAAGTTAACAGTGATATTTTGTGGAGAAGAGTAGTCAGGATTTAAAAAAATTTTCCTTTTGGTTTATCTGTATTTTGAATTCTTCTACAACAAACATGGATTACATGAGTTATTAAAACTATCTATTTGAATATGTAACAAAACATAAATCCATAAGCAAACAAATGATGGTTTAGGTTTCTATTATTTTTTCTCCTGCTGAAAAGATAGAAGTCCCTTCTCCTTCGAATATATTCCTAATTCATTCTGCCTTTTTTTACTTGTTGAATGAGGCATGCAGTAGGTATTGAGGCTGAATGAATGATTCGCTGTTTAATCAGTCTTCATATCTTAAAAGGAATGCAAAGGAAATTGAACTCTTATGGTCCAAACCAGTACTAAATGCATGTGACACAGGCCCATGGCAGCATCTCTTACTACTTCCAGTCTGGGAGCCCAGCCACATCCATTCACATTTTAAAATATAAATGGATCTTTCCTAATTGCCTTTTTGCTTCCCACACTGGCTAAGGAATTCAATTTGCTGCATTTAGCCAATGAATCCAACTTTCCACACAGATATTTCATATACAGATTTCTATATGAAGACAAAGTACTTCTTTAATGAGGCTTCATTATCAACCCCAGAGATGGAAACAAACAAAATCAGAAGCCCAGTTTGGGAATAAACTTTTCTTAGGTACTCCCTTAGAATAGTTGTAGAAACAGAATGCTTAAGATCAAGATAACCAGCTTTAAACTCCACAAATAGACGATGTTGACTAGGAATGCAGGGGATTTTTTTCTTTAAGCAATGGCTTCATGAACTTTGTGATAAAACTTAATTAGCCTTTGGAATGTATTAAAACGTCTTTTGTCACCAAGGATCTCCCTAGGTTTTTGTGGGGCCACTCACCATTACTTTGGTGAAGAAAAATCCCAGTGAATAAAACAGATGCCTTTACTCTCCAGCTATCTCCTGTCCTGGCTACGAGAAAACAAGCAGGCAGCACAACCAACCAGGGACCCCAGAGCACCGCTGCCCACCCTCCTCAGGCCTGAGGAACCAGACAGTGGCTCTCCCTGCTCTCAGGGACCAGAAGGCTCTGGTGGTCCTTTGGAGTAAAAGCCAACTTGAAGAAGCCGGCTGAGGAGGGTTCTCAGGGCAGAGTGGAGACAGCCTCTCCTCGAGGGGAAGACAGTGGTTTTCAGAAGTGGGGTGCTTCAGAATCAGTGTCTTCCAGAATTGAGGCTAGGGTGAGGGGAATAACCTCCTGATTTTTACCTAGGAAAAAAGCATTCTAGGTATAGAGGACTCTCACAAAAGAGAACCAAAATTAGGGGCTGGCCCCGTGGCCGAGTGGTTAAGTTCGCGCGCTCCGCTGCAGGTGGCCCAGTGTTTCGTCGGTTTGAATCCTGGGCGCGGACATGGCACTGCTCATCAGACCACGCTGAGGCAGCGTCCCACATGCCACAACTAGAGGAACCCACAACGAAGAATACACAACTATGTACCGGGGGGCTCTGGGGAGAAAAAGGAAAAAATAAAATCTTTAAAAAAAAAAAAAAAGAAAACCAAAATTGACTTTCTCTTTTAAAAGATATTTCCAGTTTTTGAAAATTTAGTACCTAATAAAAACAATGTGAAAGTGCCTGCCTAGAATACAGCTGGCGATCGTTAGCTGTTAGCTGAATCAGAACCTGATGCTGCTGTGCAAGGCCCTGGACTGAACCTCCTCCCGACATCAGCATGCCCTTCCTGGGACTGCTCAGCCATTTAAGGCCAGGGAAGGTGGATGGTGGATAGAAGCTTCAGGGAATCCAGACTCATGAAAAAGGACTGTACCCACGTGAGAAAAGAATATCTCAAAACCTGAAGATCACAAGTATATCCAAGCACCTGGTTCAGATTCCTGAATTAGAAATTCTACTCACCCACCCAACTGTTGAGGCACAAATTAAATAATATTGTATATGCATGCATACTCCTTCCCCACCACCAAAAAAAAAAGAAAAAAAAGGAATGATATCAACTGGTACAACATATCTTTTCTCCTTAACATATTTAAAAGTAACAAATTTAGGAATAGGGATATCAAATTTTACAAGTTTTAAAAATAAGCCAGTTCAGGTAAGCACTAACGTCATACAAAAAAAACAAATAAGCAGTCAAGCTACCATCTTCTTATAAATCAAAAGCAACTGGAATGGATTACTTTACTCTTTTCGGACATTTATGTTTTTAAACCTGGGGACCCTGCCCAGGGCACCTCTTATAAGAGGGAAGCCATGGTTCTTCCCTGCATGGTTCCAAGTACAGCCTCTTTTTTCATCACTGACCCTAACCAAAAACTACTTTGTGCAGAAATGACCTATTAATGAATTGGTCCTCACTCTTTTAAAGATGATTTTTAGAATCTAGTGCCTATGTGTTTGTGCACAGTGAGTGAGTATGACAGCATGTGTGTGTGCAGACATTTACACACTTGGGGTTTCCACCAGTTTCCAACTATAGGGTGCCATGATGCACTTCTCTGTGTGTAGAATATCTGCGATTATTTAAATCTCTGTCACTTGTTGACAGAGAGATGGCTGAGAGTTCTGAAACGGGACCTCTTTTAAGAAATGAATAAAAAATTCAAAACACATTTAGGTTAAATAGAAAAGTGATCTTTCAGGATCTGACAAATTCACGATTTGAATCTAGGTATCTGACACCATTAAGGCTTACTAGCCTACTGTTCGGCTTAGAGCAAATACTTCAAGATCAAATAGTTTTTTACAGTTGATATTGGTATGGCTTCTTATCACTCTAGGATGGTACTGAGGACCCTCAACTGGAAGCCCCACTGTGCCAGCTAGTCCGAAAGGCTTCCTACCTTGAAAACAGTAAGAGGGGAGAAGACACAGTAGTTTGAAAAAAAGAATTGGTTTATCTCATTGCCTTTTGGTTTTTAATCATGATATTTAATTTATTTTGAATTTTAAATATTATTAAATATTAAATATTATCAAAGTAAGGCATGGGTCAAATAAGGTTGAAAAATATTGCTTTAAAAACTCCATGCTGTCCAGGGGCTGGCCCCGTGGCCGAGTGGTTAAGTTCGCGCGCTCCGCTGCAGGCGGCCCAGTGTTTCGTTAGTTCGAATCCTGGGCGCGGACATGGCACTGCTCATCAGACCACGCTGAGGCAGCGTCCCACATGCCACAACTAGAAGAACCCACAATGAAGAATTCACAACTATGTACCGGGGGGGCTTTGGGGAGAAAAAGGAAAAAAAAAAAAATGTAGGGGAAAAGGAATAAAAGAATAGATCTTTAAAAAAAAAAAAAACACACAAAAAAAACTCCATGCTGTCCACCTAAAACTCCTCTAAAATATAGTCTATTTAATTAAAAAGAAATCCCATAGGTGCCTATCAACACTGAGTATGTGTCAGGAAACCTAAGGCACACCGTGACATCTGCCCGTCCTCAGCACCAGCCTGGAGGGAGGCTTCCCCACCCCCTCCCCGAGATGCCATGCATTTCTAGGGATATTGGTTATTTCCATATTCTCGGGAGACTGGGGAAATTGGCTTTTTAGCTTATTTACCCTAAAATTAAAGAAGCTAGTTTCAAGAATAATATTAATTGCAAATTACGGCAACTGTTTGATACTTCCTCCCTCAAGGCACCAAAGCTTTGGTGCATTATCTTTTGTGTTAGATCAAATGAAGTCAAAGAGATCATTCATAATTATTCCCCACATAACTGGATAGACAGGCAGCACTAGGGAAAAGAGAAACTTTTACTTACGCTGGGGTGGCTGGGAGTCAAAGGGCATCATCATTTTTGGTCTCATTCCTCGCCTTCCAGCCAGTGTAGACATGCTGTCCTCTGATTCATGCCCTAGACATCAAATATGGAGTCGGTTACAAGCTTGCATCCTAGGCCACTGAGCAGGCTCAGCAGTAAAACATTTCTATTAGGGAATTCAAGACTCACAAACAACATAAGAGGGGAAAGGGGTTTCTGAGGAAGTGAAATAAAGAGGAAAATGACCATCAGAGTATTACAGGAGTCCCTGTTGAGAGTCAATGCAGTTGGCACAATGCTGCCTACCACATTTCAGTGCAGTGTCTCTAAGTAAGAGCATCCAGACCGAGAACATTCTGAACACCACAATGAGACCTGCACTCCAACTGAAGGGAGAGATGAAATGCACAGACATGGGCTCGGTTATCCCAAATGCTTGAGTATCAAGTTGGTGAAGCATGATGGGAGACCTAGAAGATCTAGAAGGCTGTCTCATCTGGGTACAGAAACCTCTCCCCCATAACAAGCTAGCTATTCTTCATTAGATGGTGACCAAATCCCATAACACACCCATCTTTAAACCTAACCTCGCATAGGAAGCACCAAATTAAGGCAACCTTATAAAATGGAAAATGAGTGAAATGAAAATAATCTCCCAACATTTGGGAAAAACCTGCACCTCTGTATGAATTCCGCCTCTGATGGATGTTGCTGTCCATGGAATTGTCAACCGGTGTGATATCTTGAGAGTTACGAGGAATTGGAGTATCAGTCATGATGGGGTTTGGGTCTGGAGACTTATCGATGGGTTTTAGCTCCAGTCTCTCATGATGGATCCAGAGGTCTGGGGGTTTGACATCTTTGGAGTTCCCTTTGTACTTGTGGGAGCCATTCACTGATTTGCAAGCAGCTCGTTTCCTAGGCACAAAATTAAGGGGATTTTTTAAAGTAACTCTTTTGAACATATTTGGTAACGGTTCAATGATTAAAACTGCCATTCTGAGAGACGCTTGAAACAAAGGCAGAAACTAAAAACAAACAAACAAAAAAGAAAAACAAGAGGCAAACAATTTACTCTTGCAAACAGTAAATTTATCTCTGACCTGTCCACATATATTTAGAGATACATACAAGGGCATATTTGAATATTGTCTTGTGACTTTTTTTTGAGTATCAAAAAATTAGACAGCATTTTTAAATCAAATAATCTCTAAAGCAGAAGGTTCTTCCACAAGTTTCCAATCAATAGAAAAAGGACAATATTAACTAGAAATCTAACAATGGAGTAGAGGTAGAGTCTGTGGCTTATAAGGAGGGAGGGAAAAACATTTTAGGTAACCCAAACTAAGACTAGCAACTGGGTAAAGTCAAGAATGGGGATGACAGTGTCTACTTGTCTGTGCCTTAGTTTCTCCACTAAATCACTCACTCACTCAATAAGCACTTATTAGGTATCTACTGTATGTCAGACCCTGTGCAGGACTGCTGAGCTTTCAGCACTTCTGGTCAAGCGAGGAAGATAGACACTGAATTATGTCTGAGCTTAATGAAATGCCAAGCGTTACAGCCGCCTCTTAATAGTTGGACATAAGGTGGACACAAAAAATATGGAGGAAGAAGTGATGTTTAAGCTAAGACCTAGGGGGGCAGGGCAGAAGGTGCATTCCAGGTGGTGAAATCAGCTTACGTGAAAGCTGTGAAGCAGAGAGTAACAGCAGCTTGGTGTATTAGCGAGATTATAAGAAGTCCTGGGTGGTGGGAGCATAGTGAACCACGGGGAGGATGGAATGAAATGATGCTGGGAAGGTAGTCAGGGATCAGATCATAAAGGGCTTTCAGAGCCATACCAAGAGTCTGAACTTCCTTCTATGAGTAAGAAGAAACCACTAAATGGTTTTAAGAAGGAGAGTAAGGAGATCAATTTTGAGTTAAAAATTCACACCAACTGTGGTATGAAGAATAGATTTAAGGGGTAGGGGACAGAACAGGAAGACCAGCTGGGAATAATCTTAGCTATGATCGATGGTGGCCCAGGACAGTGTGAATGGAGGAAAAGAGGCAGATTTGACAGTTATTTAGGAGCCAGAAATGACAAGACTTGGTGAATAAATGATGTGGGGTGGGGTAGAAATAAAGAAGCAAGAGAAATAAAGGATACCGCCATGGGTTGTGGCTTAAGTCATATGCCAACACTGGGAATAATGAGTTAGAAGCAATTTTGACAGAAAAGATTATAAATTCTGTTGTGGACACGCAGAGCACCTCTGAGACATTCAAGAGGAAATGCAGAAGCGGCAAGTAGGTGTGCAAGTCTGCGACTCAGAAGAGAAAGGCCTTGGCTAGTGATAGAAACATGGGAGTAGCTGGAATGCAGATCATAAATGAAGCCGTGGGTGTAGATATGACCTGAGGAGAGTACAGAAGGAGAAGAGAATAACTCTAGGACAAGGCCCTGAGGAGTGTCTGTATTTGATGGCTGGGTGGATAGGAGTGAAAAAGAGCACACAATCATGGAATAAAAGAGAAGAGAAAGTTTCAAGAAGGAAGGGTAGTTGACTGTGTGAAATGTTGTTGACAGACTGAGTAAGATGAGGACTGAAAAGTTTCCTTTGGTTTTAGTAATATGGAGGTCATTGGTGATCTCAGCAAAAGCAATTCTGATGAAGCGTAGGGGCAGAATTCAGATTAGAAAGGACTGCAGCATGAGCAGGTAGTGAAGGAATGGACAAGTGAGTGTAGACAAGTATTCAAGAATTCTGTGGTGAAGGGAAAGACAGAGATTTGTAAGCAGCCAGTGGTAAGGATCCTGCAGTAGAGGAAGGGTTACCATTATAATTCTCTCTCAAGATGGAAGAAGTCTGAGCACACTTAAAAGCTGAAGGGACAGAGCCAACAGAGAGTGAGAGGTCAGCTCTGCTGGAGAGGGATAAAAGCAAGTACAAGGTCTTAGAAAGAGAGGAGACACATGGAGAACTGGCTTCAGACAGGAGGAAGGAGGAGAAAAGATTACTCCCAGTGTAGGAAGGTTTCTAGGTTTGATGGTGGTATGCAGCGGTAGTTCTCACCTGTGGAGAGTGAGGGCCGTAGAGGAGTGTGCTGGGAAACAGTGAGGGGCTAGACTGTAAATGCTCTGTCAACCTGGAGGTTGTAAGAGTCTGTAAACAGCTACAACTAAAATGGGAGGTACTCCTGGTATTAGAGAGGAAAGAGTACTCTGAAAAGCTCACCTATATTTTCCAATGGTCACTGGAACACTTGGAAAGCAGGTCACTGAGGGAGGAGGAGGGGAAAACCCTGTGAAGACTTGATACAATTCTTTTAAACAAAACGACACAAATCTCTAGAACTCCAGCTTCAAATACAGAGTTCAGAGTCTATTACCAGCTCCTACCTCTCAATCTGAAGACTAAGTGCTTTACTTTTTATTTACTTTGAATTTTAAATCCCCCAAAGCACTAAGGAGTTCTGTCATTTTGTTTTTTCAGATTCTTTTAAATAAAGATCTCAAGATTTCTAAAACTAGACATAAAGTCAAGTTCACAAAAATAGATAAATGTGAAATGTCACAGAAAGAAGCTTGTAGAAAAGCTCTAGAGTAGGAAAAAAATGTAATCTTTGAGGCTTTTAAGAGAAACAGTTTTCTATAACCAAAAGCAGATGGGGAGAGCTATAGGAGGCAGGAATCAGGAGGCTTATAAGGGGCCCCCTTCTCTCGGAAAAGTGATGCAATGCAAGCTATGGAAAGTTATTTTATTTGAGAAAAGAAAGAAAGATGCAACACATCACATATCCTACAGAAAATGACATAAGGCCATTACTAGCAGCAGTTACAGGGTAGCTGTACTTGTCCTCTACACTGAAAACAAATTTATTGTTATCAAATACATACATCCTCACCTTGGGGAGACCAAGTCTGATGGATAATCACAAACATAGACATGAGTTTCTCTTTCTCTCTTATGGAGCAATACCTCCATCTTATGATCTTTTAGGATATTGCAACCAAAGTCGTTTTATTACCCATACTGTATTTTTGCCATTGGGGTAACTCAGGAATCTCCTTTTTTATGGTATCTGTCTCACTGGCCAGATACATGAGTTCAATGTGATCCAGGGTCAAAGATCCCCTCAAGTTCAGGAGTGTGGGCTGTTATCAAGCACTACATGACTGAGTCACCTTGCAATCTGCTCTAGACAATTCGCCAGGAGCCTCAAAAGCCCAGAGGAATTCAGGGCTAGTAGCTATCTGACCTTTCTGTGAATTTGACATGCTGACTATAAATGATCGTTTCTTATTCATTAAATCAACACCTCTTCCCACCGACCCCCTACCCACCCCCTGCCAGCCCCAACCTCAACTTCCACACTTGGTAGCACTTCTTTAAAAGTATTCTTAAACCTAGATTTAGAATAAGAGGCTTATGGTCTTCTTCCATCTCAGCTGGCATTTGTGCCATGAAATAGCTTATAAGAACGTTCACAAATCCTCGTGCATCTGGTTCACTGTGTGTTTGTCATAGACAGTACTCCAAACAGGTTACCAGCAAGGTCAGACATTGTCCACTTTCCTCTTCACATCTATTCTCCACTTGGCTCTATGACTTGAGAGGTTGAGTTTAATGAATTATATCTACTTGGCAACCCTGGCCTGGCTTCTAGTCAGGTTTGGTCAGTAGAAGGCACAGGCAAGGGGCTGGCCCAGTGGTGCAGCAGTTAAGTTCACACGTTCCACTGCTTGGCGGCCTGGGGGTTCACCCGTTCGGATCCCGGGTGTGGACATGGCACCACTTGGCAAAAGCCATGCTGTGGTAGGCGTCCCACGTATAAAGTAGAGGAAGATGGGCATGGATGTTAGCTCAGGGCTAATCTTCCTCAAAAAAAAAAAAAAGAAGGCACAGGCGAGAGACTGGAGATAGAAGGTGTTTTTTCTCCTGCCCCCTCCCCTGCTTGGCTAGAGGGTAGCAACAGCTACATTCCTACCACCACACATAGCCCCTTTCAGAAACCCTCATCTGCTGCTTCAGATCTCTGAAAGCAGCTCTCTTACCCTTTCAGGCCTAAGGGGGACAGTGGCCTATCACTTCTCTGGCCCTTGAAAATCCCTACCTTGTTTCCCTAACCCCACCCAGGACTTTGTAAATGGTCCCTTCATTGAACTCTCTTTCACCCCATTTGAGCATGCCACCTCTATCCTGCCAGGACTCTGACTGATACACATTTCTAAGAGGAACCATTTTGCATTGCCTTTAAAAATATTTAAAACATTGCGTTTTATGTTTTAACTCCATGTACAGTTCCAAAGACAGAAGTCACACAGAAGCAAAAGAATAGATACCACAAGTCTACAGGCTGTATTTGGGGCTCCTTACTTTTTCTGGTGAGAGGTGGTGCGCCTGGTGCAAAAGACAGCGATGATCACGACCACCACAATGGTGATGACGCCAACCGAGACGATAATGACCAGTAGCATATTACTGTCTAGAGGAGAGGTGGGGCTTCCATGAGGGCTGTTACTGCCTGGACAGGGAAAACGGTACATTCGTTAGTGATAGAGAATTCTAAAAATGCATACTATCAGCCTACAGAACCTTCACGTGAGTAGAGATATTTCACGTGAGCTTCTTTATAACACTCAACACCGTGCCTTGTATAAAAGTGTCTCATGAACACGGCTGTCTCCTCTAGATTACGAAATCTAGAGTGAGTTTCTGCCCTATGTACAGTTCTCAGCATAGTGCCTTGCACAAAGCTGGTGTTCAGTAAAAGCTTCTCAAATTATACTCAACATTATACTTGAACAAATAAAGGGTCTGCCCCTCTGGCATCTTATGTTACACAGAAATTCATCTTGCAAAGCATCATTTGTAAATCATTCAGTTTTTTGACTTTCAAAACTGCTTTAAAAATGTACATTCATAGAAAGCAAAAGTTTTTTCCAACATATAGATGTCTGAGATCACAAAAAATTACTTGAAACATGAAGTCTCTCTGTTTTTATAAATACATAGTCTATAGAGAGTTAATTCTCTTCTTCAGTTTCAGGAAAAAGTAGGTCTATAGATATGCATTCATTTGACAAATATTTACCACGTGGTTACCATGTGCCAGGCATTGTTCTAAGTACTAGGACGTAACAGTGAGCAACAAAGATATAAATGTTGGGGTGGGGGCAGACAATAAACAAATATGAAATTAATTAGTAGTAAGTGCTACAAAAAAAAAATGAGGGGATATGATACAGAGTGGCTGGGTTGGCTATTTCAGATTGAGTGGTTGAAAAAAGCTGCTCTGGGGAGATGGCATCTGAGTTGAGATGTGAATGACGAGAAAGATCCCACCATACAAAGACCTGGAGGAAGAACATTCCAGAGAGAGGGAACGGCTAGTGGAAGGATCCCAAGGCAAGAATGAGCTTGGCATGTTCAAGGAAGAGAAAGGCAGTCAGTGAGGCTTAAGCAAAGAGACATATGCAAAGTGAGAGGGACGGAAGTGAACAGAAAAAAGACAGAGATGAGGCTGAAGAGGTGTGCAGAGGTCAGGTCATTTAGGACCTTGAAGAAATTTAGATTTTCTTCTTCTTCCTACTATTATTTCCCCACTGCTTACAGGATAAGGTCCAAGCTTTTCATCAAGGTTTTTTGTAATACAGCTCTATTCTAAGTCTTGCTCTTTCATTTTCTGAAATAGATTTCTTTTTTTCTCATCTCATTATAAAAGTTATGCAGGCTCATATTATAAAACATGGGAAATCCCACCACACAGATCTAACCACCATGGATATCTGAAGTCTTTCCTTCTGATTACTCTCATCTTCCTAACAATCAGAGCTGTACCATAAAGGGATGGGCTGCTTTGCCAAGTCATGAGCGTTTAGTCACTGGAAGTACTTAAGAAGAGTCATTCCACCAGTCTGGGATGTTCTGGATGAAATTCCTACCATGAAGGTATGGCTTGGGAATTTGTGTTTTCAGAAAAGCTCCTAAAGTGACTCTCATACACAATCTGCTTTATAAACTTATGATCTAATCCCAACTACACTTATTGTGGGAATCCCTTCCACAGCACCGGATTAGGTGACCTTCCAACTTTTGATTCTATGATTTTAGAGGCTACATCTGAGCACATGCCATATCCGGGCTGACTTAGGAGGGCTTAAGAGCTTATTCTTCTACATTTGGTTCAATTATTTTTATCCTTCATTTCTGAGAAAAAGGTAAGCAGACAGACAACTTCAACTGTATACACTGACCTCCAATAAAATAACATTTTTATATTTGGGAAAGGCTACAGAACTAGAGGCCAACTGAATTAGACCACATTAGGGCTTTACCTAGAACTTATTAATAGCAGTGCTGAGCTACTGGGTGGGGTAGGCAATGCAAATCAGGGGCTGGGGAGCTGGGGTGTGGGAGGCAAGCAGAGGTGGTGGTGGTAGTTCTTCCCTGCATTCAACAGAGATGCATCTCATTTAACTGTATCTGAGACCTTTAACTTCTGAGCTGGCCAAAAGCTCCCTTCTAAGACAGAGTAAGAGTGAGCTGCCCAAGGGAGCATCAACTCTCCTATGAGGGACATTATGACAGGCCATTTCTTAAGCCTCATCTGGACTACAGCAATAGCTTCCTAACCATTCTTTTCTGACTTCATACTTTTAGCCCCCAAATCATTCTTCATTGTTGTCAGAATAATATTAGATACTCAATAAATGAAGTCAGTTTACCAGTAGTATCAGACATCTTACATATGTTATTTACAGGATGAAGCTCACATTTCTTAGCATTGGTACCTGAGCATTTGGTAGGCTGGTTTTAACCTACCTTCTCTGTTCTGTCTCTAGGAGTGTGGCCCTTGGAGAGAGCAGGTTCCTTTATATTGCCATGCCTTTGCATATGCTATTATTGCTTCCTGGAATGTTCAACGCCCTCCTTGACATTTAGCAACCTTCTATACAGCCTTTAAAATCTGAATCAGATATAACCTCTTCTATGAAGCTTTCCCTTTTCTGTATCAGGTAGTTTGTGACTCACTCCACTATTGTTCCCAGAGCCTGTTACAGAGAACCTTAACCTTTAAAAATATGTGAATGAATAAATAAATGCATAAATGAAAGAAAAGACCAAGAAATAGTTACTTTTCTCACAGCCTTGAATACTATACTGTGGACAGCACATAAATATAACATATGTATCCCAGGAAGGGAAACCCATAAACAAAGTCCTAGAACTGAGAGCCTAAAAATCTCTTGAAGTATGCAAATTTGTCTGGGCTCTCTTAAGAATAGGCTGATTTCACTGATGTCTGGGCAGCATCGCTTTTTATTTAAATAGTGGGAGAATAAGAGATCATTTTATCTTCACATGTAGACTAGGAGCTTCTGGAGGACACGCCTTTCTCTCCTCCAGCAGGAGTGAGGAGGAAGTAGGGTCATTTCTAGTAACTCCTTTTGTGACCATTTTGCCATCCTGGATTCTCACATCTAATACAGAACCCGTGACTTTCAGGCTGTGTGTGATAGCAGAAAAGGCACAACCAGAAGTCAGAAGACATGGGTTTTGGTTCTAGAACTTCGATAATTAGTGGATGGATCCAGGCATAAGTACTTCTCTGCTGAGTCTCTTAACGTATAAAATGAGAATACGGCATCTGCCCCTCTGCTTCACGGTGTTACGAGGACCAAGTGTGATCCTGTGTGTGAGAATAACTCCAAATGGGGAAGTTCTGTAGAGAAGCAGCGTCATCATTTAAGCAACGAGAAGGTGCCAGCCTCTTAGGATGGCTAGGAGAGTGGGAAGAATTTTTCAGAATTCCCAAACTAAAGACACTGAAGTAGGGTGGCGAGAAATTAATGATTCTGAAGCATTTCTTTAGCTTGTTCTGGGTGATGGCTAATTCCACTAGAGGGTTTATTTTTGAAAGCAAGATTCTAATTCTTTTCTAGAGGCAGTGGGCAAAAGGAAGACTTGTTTAGAATTAATCTTAAGTTGGATATGTGGGGAAACAAATTTATGAATCCTATAATGAATGGGTTTGTAGTAATTCAGCAAATATTTGCCAGAGAATGCGTAAAGCTAACACTATTAAATAAAAGAACAGGTAACACGCTACAATCCACCACACACGAATACAAAAGACATTTCAAGATTTCAAGCAGAACTGCGTCACACCCATAATAGGCCAAAAAAGCCACAGGAAGGGCTTTACCACTCATCGGAGGTTTGTAGTCAGATCCTAGGTCTGGCAGCCGGCTTCCTTTTCCTGCAGACCCTGAGGCTGAAGGAGAAGAAATCATGTCAGTAATGACTGAGCTCATTGGTGTGACAAGTCCACTCCATAGCTAGTGAGTGTTTTCTACAAAAAATAGTTTCAGTCCACTCTGTCCATGAGAAAATGAAGTAGCACATAAACAACAAGGGAAAACACAGTCTATTTGTGCAGAGCAAACTAAGGTATAGCTTTCTATGCAATGAGGCATCTGAAAGGCTGACACTCTTGTTCCACGACTGTATCTGGGATGTGAATAGACTGCCACTAGCTGTTGGTAAGGTGGGCACACACTCACTTCTCTAGCACAGGAAACATTTCCTGAAAGACTGCTCAGAGCATTTATGGCCAAAGTAGCTTCTCTGAGAAAAGGAACCAAGGGGACCAGTTAGGTTAGCTTCTGCATTAAAGATCTGGACTCTTCCAAAAAACTCGCCTATGTTGATCTGGACTAGCAAGTGTCACCAGTGTTTGGATTCTTTTCTCAAATCATAAAGTTGCCTTTCCAAATATAAAGTTACCCTAAGCAGGAGCAGGAAGGTAAGTGGAGGTTCAGATTGGGTTCTCAGTTCCTGCTCAGTCACCTAAATATGCACAGATGAAAACACAAGTCTTCCCTCTCACTGCTCACAAAAGACACTGTGTCCTAATCCATCATCACAGAAGAAAGTGAGTGAGACGGCCGACCTCAGACTTGGGACCACCTCACAAGCACTTCAGAAAACACAATTATCAGGTTTTTAGAAATTTATGTTCTTGGTCTTGAATGTTTTTCTTCACATTTATAGAAAGAGCTGCTGGGGTAAAAGCAAATACAAGGAGTCCTTTCTCAATAAAGCAAAGGTATTCCTCAATCCAGGGTTTGGGGCCAGAGAGCAGTGCTGCACTTCTCTTGAGGAGGTCTGAAAGAGATGCAGAGTAAAAGTGCTCCTCGGTGTTAAGACGGCACGGTGCTTCACAGACGTCTGCACTGGAGTATCGTGTACTCTGTCAGGTGCTAACTGACTCTTGGCTACTTCTTTAACTATTGTGTTTGGGTCTCAGTTTCCTCATTGTGAAACAGTGATAATAACGGTATCAACTTCACGAAATTGTTGTGAGAATTCAGTGGAAATTTAATACTACAAAATATTTTGAATGCTGCCTGACACATAGCAAATATTCAATAAATATTAACGACTACTATTACAAGCATAAGAAATCTTTAAGGAAAAATATAATCTTCCCCTTTACAGTGGCAGAGAGCCTGAAGCTTCAGAAAGCACTTATAAGTGAGGGTTATTTCCACAAATAAAGCTTGATTACAAACGCGTAAACTACATGTGTTTCTGTGAAACATTAGAGCTTAGGTCAAGTAACGTCTATGAATTATTGGAATTGGAGGAAATGAAACAAATTAGAATCTGAAGGTTTCTGTATGTAGTTCATTTAGCAGAATAAATCTAGAGATGAAAACAATATTTTCTGTTTCCAGAAGATCAAAACTCCCAAAGGTAACAGAAATTCTTGGGTATCCAAAAGGGTATAATCTAGAATTCAACTTGCAGTCCCTGACCCTCTTCCACTGTCCATACTTACTACTTTATCTCCTTACTTCCACTGCCATCACTCCTCCCAAATGGCACACTCCATAGGTCAAGATTCGAGTTGTTCTTTCCACTATGATAAAGTCTAGTTGGCAGAGATTACTGAGCTTTTGTAAGGCTCTTCATATTTAAGTGTACTTGTTTGTCAGGTAGCCTACATTTAAGCCAAACTATCCAGAGTATATTATGTAAATAATTGCAAAGAACACATTTTGCCAACTGCAGTCATGAGTCGCTTAACGGTGGGGATACATTCTGAGAAATGCATTGTTAGGTGATCTTGTGCGAACATCATAGAGTGTCCTTCCACAAACCTAGATGGTATGGCCAATACACACCTAGGCTCTATGGTACTAATCTTATGGGACCACCGTCAGATATGCAGTCCATCGTTGACTGAATCACCGATACATGGCGCATAACTGTAAACTGGTTGGTTTAATTCCTGTATTTCCCAACATTTTTTCTTTTAAATTTAACCTATGAACAAGAAATTCCAAGGATTAACCAAACTCCAAAAATATCTATGTGTAAAGAATTTTTAAATACCAGAGGTGTGGTACACGCTAAGAAGTGCACTCTGGCTCATGGAGTAAAGTGAGGGAAGAACAATGCAAACATTTATATTCTGTGCATATACAGTATGGTTATTTTTCTGTTCTCACACTTAAGTCAAAGTTTCTACCACGACTGGGTGCCTTACACACACACACAGACACACACACAGCATGTTTGCAGTTTCTCCAAGGTACAACAAAAGACTCACTGAATGCAAACACATTTCCAAAGCCCTGAAACTTGAAACCTCAAGTTCTGACTCCTCCTTGCCATTAACCAAGCTCCAAAGACTTCGTGTTTCTAATTAACAACTCTTAAACCATCAAAGCAACCATTAAATTTACTTTTTTGAGGAAGACTGGCTCTGAGCTAACATCTGTTGCTGAGCTAACATCTGTGCCAATCTTTCTCTATTTTATATGGGACACAGCCACAGAGTGACTTGATGAGCAGTGCTAAGGCCTTACCCAGGATCCAAAGCTGTGAAGCCCAGGCTGCTGAAGTGGAGTGCACAAACTTAACCACTACACCACCAGGCTGGCCCCCCCATTAGATTTATTTTTATTGCTCTTTCTTAGTATAAAAAACAGCTACCAACTTTAACTGACTTCCCAGAGACGAAAATCACAAAGTACAGTTCCCTCTCCACAACAGTAATTATAGTGAAAAGACCATGCTGACAGATCATTTCAAGAACACTGGCACTGAGGCCTGTGCTTCCTAAGCTTCCATCTTAAACTGTTTCTATCCTCTTTTAAAATGAGCAGATATATTTAAGGGAAGAAATGGAAAAAGAGTTCTGAATTAAGCTTATGCTAACAGAACAAACAGCACCAATTTTGTCACTGCTAATCACACAACTCAGCAGGGTAAATTTGTAGATTCTTGTCAGGCGTGTGTGTAGGGGGGAATACAGTATTTGCTGAATTGATTACAACTTTTCATTTAGAGATACTAATAAAATTCTAGATGCTACAAATATAACAAATTGGTATGCTTGTTCTCATCATGCTCAAATGACTATCACTGTCACAGAACTTCAGTATCTCAGTGCAAAGGGTAATCTGACCCATGCTTAAAGCCAATCTCCCACAGCTGCAGAACTGTTCATTCGACTCAGTTGTTTTCCTATCAGACTATTTAGCTCCTAAGTAGATTCCCAAGCTTTTCAGGTACCCCAAGTGCCACAAACATGGACTCAACTCCACTTTGGCCAATATGTGGTTTTTAACACATGCTACTGGTTTTCAGGAAAACAAAAACAAAAACAATGAGAGGCTAATAAGAGGTCACTGAAGAGAGGAAAGGAAAGAGAGGCCATCTACTCATTTACCTTGATCATTAGGCATTTTATCAGAGGAGTCCGCTAACAGGCCAAGCACAGGGGAAGAAAAAAACAAGAGCAAGGATCACAAGCTTTGAAGATGGGACAGGCAGAATTTTTAAAAGAAAAAATAAAACCCCACACTTCCAAACAAATTGAGTCTTGTTTTTACTAACAGAAAAGAAATCCATTTATGGTTTCCCTATTTCCATAGACTGAGTCCCCAACTAACTTTTATTCCTGAACTCACTTAGCTCAATACTTTATCTTCACTTTCTTACCTAGTGTTTTCTTTAAAGGGCCCCTTTTAGTCTCTCGCTCTACAAAGGTCCACAAATAAGCCTTTCAGGTTAAAAGCCTGCATGTTTGAAAGAGAATCATCCATCACAATAACATGCTGTTACTCTGTATGGGAACCAAGAGAATCACATCTGATCTGACTATAAAAACTCTTAGACACTGCATTCATCTGCCTCGAACAGCCTTGAGTCAAAGTTCCCTTGTATATGATACGGTTAGGCAGTAACCTAGGGAGTGCTGATTTGTCGGTCAATGGGTGGGTGAGGGATCATTCTGAGATAAATGTTCACATTGTGGCTCATAAGCTCACCATCAAGCTCGCCATCAGGACTTCTATCATCCATAGTCTCTACATGCTAACATGATATGTGCAAACATAGCCCCACTACAGAGACACAGAATAAAACACTCTTTTTGGGGAACTTTACCTTTAGGCGTTCTGAACTGGACAGCTTCAGACATGGGCCCCATGCCCTTTGAGTTCCGGGCCTGGATTTTGAAGTAGTATGGTGTGTCAAGTGTTAACTCTTGTATCTGGTGAGTCAGCCTGTTTCCCACCACAGGCTCAATAACCCAGTCATGTATCTCTGCATTCACATCTGTACTGTAATATATGATGTAACCTATCCAAAAAAGTTAATAAGAAAAGAAACTTTATTCCTGCTTCTCCTTTTGCAATCAGTAAGTTAATAAAGATATATGTTACAGCACATACAAGTAGAGAACAAATTACTGGTTAAACAGCAATGGTAAAATACATTAAATGCTAAACATAATATAGAGAAAACCACCTTTCGATGGTGCCAGGCTATAAGTTATCATCTATATCAGGTGAAGTAATAAAAGTAGTTAAGATAAAAATATAGGGTTAAGTACTCTCGCAAGCTAAGAAATCATATAAAAATAATAGTACAATCACTTCAACATCCTAATAGTTGAATAATGTAGCCTTTAAGGATCTACAATTAAAATAATGCAGTTTTGAAAACCAATAATGACCTGCCATGCTGTTTTAGCTCTCACCAATGTGATTTCCAAGGAGAAAAACTGGAGATGGGCGGCAATTTTTGTTAAGTTCTCCCTGAAGAACTTGGGGTGGGTGAAGCCAGTGAAACATCACCTGATACTTCCACCAGAGGGCACTCAATCTCCAAGGCTGAGGCAGGAAGAGCCACAACCATAAGCCTACCTGACCTACACAGTGCAAAAATGTACTGCATTATTACTGGTTTTTAAAGACAAAGTAAAATGTAATCCAAGTCAAGTCATGCTTGGTTCTTTTATGGAAGAGGTAAATTCAGAAACCTAAAGAATGACATAAAGACCAGGCACTTATGGGAAGGGATTCCTCTTGAAAGGCGAAGCAGGACAAGGCTAAAAAACGCTTTTGCGTTCCTTAGGCCACTTTATTCACACAAAGGAACTTTAGAAGGCCAGCTCCTGTTCCTCAGCATACATATGGAACACAGGCTCCAAGGGTAATAATTAACAGCTAAATCTCATCAGGCTTTCCTCCATGGTAAGCCTGAGGAAGGCACAGTGTCCCTACTGTGGAAGGTTCTCCTCTGGAAGTCCAAGGAAAATTCCAGGTCCCTTCAAAGGCCTAGGTCAATTCAAATATTAACTCTAGTTGTAAGAGTACAAGAAGCTGAAGTAGCAGGCCTGGGGGAAAAAAGGAATTAAAAGTCTAATGGGCTTTTTTGGGATTCAGGATAGAAAAGGTGAATCTATATTTATTGAGTATCACCCTGTGGAGTTAGATGGGGTCTTTAACTCCAAAGCTGGTCATCTAGTCAGAGCCAGAGAAGAACAGCTTTTCTGAGGAAAAGAAACATGTCCATAAGGTCCCGCTATAACCAAAGGCTGTCTAGGGCAACCCATGCCTATGAGATTTCACACAACGTGAGTCAGAACAACCAGCTGGCAGCTCAGTTTTACATCACTTTGGGCAAACAGCACACCCCCTTGCTCCACTTTCAAGGACCATCATGACTCACGGCTCCTCATACAATGACCAAGCGGCCTTCAGACTCCCATTCCTCCTAAGAAACAGCACAGCACTCTCCTGGAGTGACTCTACCAGGCAGGAACTGGGAACAGACACACTCAAAAGCATCTTACCTGTAATTTTGCCATTGGCTTCAGAGGGAGGCTGCCAATTTACAATTATGGTCCTAGGTTTTCCCTCCTTACTCACAACTGTCACATCCTTGGGTGGAGAAGTAGGAACTACAAAATAACAATGCTTTCAATAACTGCTGAGCATTTCAGTTTAATCCACCTTTTCCTCAACCCTTTCCATTTATAAAGCACAATAAAAGGAACAAGGCAAAAGATAAGCCACCTGGCTTCAAAGAACTCATAGTCTATCTATAAACAGCTCCAATAAAAAGAAGAATACGCAAAGTGCCAAAGAGAAAATACCATACTATGAGGATTCAGAGCTGGGATCTCAGCTGGGGGTCAGGGATAGATAGGATAGTTAGGCAGGGAAATAGAAACACATCTGATGCTACCAAGGTCCTACTATATGCCAGGCATTTTACAAATACCACCTCACTTAACATTTATGGCAACCTGAAACGGAGTTACTATCTCTGCTTGACATATCAGGATACTGAAAATGAGAAAAGTTATGTAATTTGCCAAGATGACATTTCCCACTCCAATTTGGATTATTTTGTTAGAATATTTTTAAGTGTAAAACAATTTTCTCTCTCACCTATAGTTTACTCTTCAAACCAAATATGACATTTGAAAACCCTTATTCCCTGAACGAATAAATAATTTACAAATTGACGTTTTTCATTTTAAGTTTGCACTGAAAAGATACTGTCAACTGAGGTTATTGCTCTGAAATGCAAAGCTCTTTATGGAACAGAAAAGCAATAAAAATGAAAATGAGAGTACATTTCTTGTGCTTCCACATTACAGCTGAAAACTTTTAACGTATTAGTAGGGAAATAAGCAAATTAAGTATATTGTTAAATTTACTCTTCTATTCCTAAAATATTGGAATTTTCCTAGTATAAAATGGAAGGAAGCCTGGTGAAATGCAAGCATCCTAAAGGAATACCTAACATCATATATTAGCTAATGGGTTGGAAAGAAAGCACAAAGATCTTCTTAAAACTGGCAAAGAAAGCAAACTCAAGGTCTACTTAAGCCTTTGTGCACTATATTTCTAGCTCTCCAAATGCAACCCTTTCTCTCTGTGGGAAGTCCAACCAACCGTGCAGAAGACAAAAAGACATTAGTGCCAAGCCCAGTCAGGGAGACTTTATAGCTCCATTCTGTCATTTTTCATATATAGAAGAGAAAGAAACAGGAGGCTAGAAGAGACAGAGACTCCCAATGGGCAGACATATCTCCATGCTAGGAAAGTACAAGGGGAAGAAGGCTACGCCTACAAGCGGGCAAAAAGCAAACAATCTCAAACTTGGATGACCTGCTTTTCCCTTAACTTGCTTAGTTATCTTTTCTCTTTCACGTTTACTTACAGACAAAAACCATAAGGACACTCCAGTGGGAGATTTTACAAGATACTAATTGGCTTGCAAGAAAGCTGCCGTGCTCAGGTTCTAGCAAGCATGGCACTGCAGCTGCCTGGTGAAGGACAGGTATCTTCATCTTTTCTATCTCATTTTAACAGTAAAGCAAGATTAATGACAATAATCTCTTACATCTATGCAGTGCTTTATAATTTACCATGTGCTTTCCTTTTATTTATTTATTTTTTTGCTGAGGAAGATGAGCCCTGAGCTAACAACTGTGGCAATCTTCCTCTATTTTGTCTGTGGGTTGCTGCCACAGCACGGCTGATGAGTGGGGCAGGTCTGCGCCTGGGACCCATGAATCTGGGCCACTAAAGTGGAGTAGGCCAAACTTAACGTCTAGGCCACAGGGCCAGGCCCTACCATGGGCTTTCCTATCTGCTCCTCATTTTACCCTTACAATAACTTGATAAAGTAGAAAAGGCAGAAATTAGTACCCCTCTCTTATAGATGGAAGAAACATATTCAGAGAGGTTGGATGACTTGCTTATGACCCACAGTCAGTAGATGGTCGACCTGGGATTGAACTCAAGTCTCTTGATTCCTAAAAGCCAGTATACTCTGCATTATATTATCCTGTTATTTGATAATGTTCTTGTACAATGATGAAAAAAACGTAATTCATCAGCTGAAAAAGCAAACACTGAACTCTAGCTGTAGTTGTTCACTGTGTTCTGTCAATATGTCAATTCATGCACTCAACTCTTTCCTTGGGTAGTAAAAGCAGGTGATGAGAAGTCTCATGACTTGGAATGTGGCACACCATTAGCACAGACTTCTACTGATTTTCACATCTTGCAAAGAAGAAATGCCATGTGACAAGTTTCTGACAACACATACCTAATTCAAAGGTGGTCCCATGGGCCGTCATACTCCATGTGCTTGATCTTCGACCTTTGGTCACCATCACGGAGAATTCATAGAGTGTATTTGCTTTTAAACCAGTCACCAAATAACTCAAAGTTGTTGCATTTGCATTCTGGAAATATTTGAATTGAGAATTTTAGAATGAGAAAATACCAATAATTAGCTTTTCTCACCCAGAGCAAATGAGCCAGTACCTTGTACTTGGTGTTTGCTGGGATGTTGGTTTTCCATCGGACTGTGTAGTACCGGGAGTCTGTAATCTTCTGGTGTTTGGGCAGTGAGTTGTCCGCCCATGTGATCCTTATGGTGTCATGACTCAGAATGGAAGCCTGAACTCCCACTGGTGGCATCATGGGAGTGGGATCTGGCACTGGAGTGTATGGAGCATTAATAACAAATAAATCAACTTCAGAAGTGTCTGGGTAAAAAGTAATTAAGAAAGGGAAGTGGCATTTTAACATAAACAAATAGAAAAGAAAAGGGAGATGCGGGGTAATATAACGGAATGAAAAGGTGAGAAATGAAGAAAGAGAAAAAGAATCCAGAGTTAATAGACAACCACTATTCATTTAAAAGAAAATGTCCACTTGTGTTCTTGCAGGAGAACATATAGAGAAACAGTAATTAACTATATTCTCTACTGTATTCTGTAGGTATATTCAATTTTGATAATTCAGAGATTAATGTTTTTATACTTAAATTTTCTTTAAATTACTTGAAAATTCTACCTCTTGTCCAAAAAGGATCATGAGAAACTAAAAATTGCTTTTAAAATCAAGAGTATAATTTCTGAACAAGCAGCACAAAGCTCATGATCTGTTTTGACATTTCAGAGAATGTGGCTGAATTTTTGGGACATGGCTTATAAATGCACATCACTGGACATGTGAGGATCCTCCTCTCAAACCTGAGTCCTGAATGTCAGCCAATAGCGACTTAGCCTGGCCTTGGTATTGGGGGTATTTGATACCACACAGGGTCCAGTTCAGATCTGCTGATATCCTGGGTCTAAAATCAGTGCAGCAATATGGCTCACATCCAAATAAAGCAGAAAGAACTCAGGGCATTACTCTTCCTTGAGGAAAGGCAAACTGACACCATGCAGGAATATCTGCCACACTTTCTCTAGCAGAGTCAGAGAACAACCCACTGATGAATCCCAATCAGTTACAGGAAATGCCATAGTTATCATGGGTCCAAGTGACATAGTCTTTATGAACTTTAGAAATCAGAGTACTTATGTGATAGAAAGGAAAGTCTACACTCAGGCACTGCTTTGTGCCATAAGCATCGTCACCAAAACGGAGGCCAGAACGAGCACAAAGGCACCAAGCAGCAAGAGCTCAGGGCAATACAGCAGGATCCATTTGGGCTTTCCCAACTCTTAGTCAGGTTTTCTAAGTATACACACAATGATTTATTTTATGTTAAGGTTTTAAAATAGGTTTCCCACATGGTTATGGTGATTAGCCCTTCCTATAACTCAAAATCTGAAATGGCATGAGCCTTGTTTATGAATAACTGCCAAGCTAAAGTAATAGTCTACATCTGTGTATTTCTTTCACAATGAGGACTAAAAATAACAGAGGAACAGCAAACGTTATAATCAAGGGCTTTGTTCAAAGATGGGGACACATACCAATTAGTTACAGAAAATGCACCTACAGGTAAAAAAGTCATTAGACTTCTTTGAGAAATTTTCTCTTGTTAACAACTCTTGGAAAAGATAACTAAGTTACATGACTTAGGAACACTTCCTTTTATATTTCTAGCCAGAAGGCTATATTTTTAAGTCACATAAAAGAAAATAATTTCAAATTTGTTTTTTTCTATTACAGACTGATTTAAGAAAGTAGTAAACCATTTATTTAAATATTCTTTTTCATCTTTTTTTCCTCTCTTGAATATCAAAGCTATTTTTAAAAAGAACATATAAAGCTGTAAGCACACGTAACAGAAGACAGGACAGAACTACCAAATACGCAGTAATGATATTGGTCTTCTCAAGTAAGCATTAAAAAAAAGGGACAGAGATTATCTTTACAAAAAGAATAAGGCCAAATCTGTACTATCACGCAAAGTATCCAGAAGAGATAGCAGGCAATACAGATTCACAATTCTGGGAAACAAATGGAAAAGAGCATTTCTGAAAATGCTAAATCCTTTGGTTGTCAGTATTCCTTAGAAAAATGTACAACTCATATATTTATATCAATAAACTTTCTCATTGAGATCTAAATTAAATGTTTTATATGTCTACAGAAACTTTACATTAGATGTCTATTCCTCTAAAGATATTTTAAATAGATAAATTACAAAGAAAAATAATGAATATAATGAATATCTGGTCTCTTGTAATAAATGTACAGTTGATCAAATGGATAGTACATCTGACTTTATACTCTTTATATAAATAAAACTTATAGGTTACTGATGGCAGCAATAAATGTATATGATTTTCTTTACTACTCACCTGAGTTGGTTGGGAAAGTATTTTTCTAGTAAGCTTTATTTATATAAAAAAGGAACTAACAGAACTTTCCATGTTGAAAACCCATTTTCCTATGTGAAGCCTTCACCCTGAACTACCACATACTTTTCCTTCCACTGATACCTATGGGGCAGGCTTATGCCAACACTCCCTTAAGCTGCTGGAAAACGCTGGAGACCAGAGATGGATAGGATTCCTTACCTGTGTGAGGTCTGGTCACAGCGCTCTCGTACAGGGGGATGCCTTCACCCACATTGTTAAAGGCTTTCAGGGTAATCACATAGTGAGAGCTGGGATCTGAAGGAAAGAAACAAGTCAAAATACTTTTTAAAAAAGCCTCACTACAGAATTTTAAAAATTTAAGCGTGACTGTGCATGATCTTAATTGTAGAGAAAGGAAGGAAGGTTTTAAAAACTTGTATGCAGGATTATTTTGGGGTGTGGGGAGATGTGGAGATGGCTGCATACACAGTATAGAAAAACTGGCCGGGATCAACTTCCTGGAGTGAGTCCCAGGAGTGAGTTTGACTGTGCTTGCATTCTCTCCTGGCCTCAACAAATAAATGGTTTAGTGATGTTAATACATAGTGTAGAGCTTGGATTAGAATGAGTAAATAGCATTTTTTAAAAATTGAGTTCATAATAGTTTACATCAATGTGAGGTTTCAGTTGTACATTATTTCTCGACTGTCACCACATAAGTGCTCCCTGTCACCCCTGTGCCCACCCCTCTCCCCCCAACCCCTGGTAACCACTGAACTGTTTTCTTTGTCTGTGCATTTGTTTATATTCACAGATGAGTGAAATCATCTGGTGTTTGTCTTTCTCAGTCTGGCTTATTTCGCTTAGCATAATTCCCTCTAGGTCCTTCCATGTTATTGAAAATGATGAATTTGTTTTTTCTGGCTGAGTAATACCCCATTGTATATATATAGACACCACATCTTCTTTATGCAATTGTCGGTCGATGGGCACTTGGATTGCTTCCATGTCTTGGCTATTGTGAACAGTGCTGCAATGAACATAGAGGTGCATGTTATCTTGGACTGTTGATTTCAAATTGTTTAGGTACATACCCAGTAGTGGGATAGCTGGGTCATATGGTAGTTCTATTTTTAGTTTTTTGAGGAATCTCCATACTGTTTTCCATAGTGGTTGCACCAGTTTGCATTCCCACCAGCAGTGTATGAGGGTTCTCTCCTCTCCACACCCTCTCCAACATTTGTTATTTTTAGTCTTAGTGATTATAGCCACTTTAATAGGCGTAAGGTGGTATCTTAGTGTAGTTTTGATTTGCATTTCCCTGATGATTAGTGATGTTGAACATCTTTTCGTGTCTTTATTGGCCATCTGTATATCTTCTTTGGAAAAATGTCTGTTCATCTGCATTCTTTGATCGGGTTGTTTGTTTTTTTTATTGTTCAGTTGTGTGAATTCCTTAAATATTATGGAGATTACCCCTTGTCAGATATATGATTTGCAAATATTTTCTCCCAATTGGTGGGCTGCCTCTTTGTTTTGATCCTAGTTTCTTTTGTGTTGCAGAAGCTATTTAGTCTGAGGAATTCCCACTTGTTTATTTTTTCTTTTGTTTCCTTTGTCTGAGAGGACATGGTATTTGAAAAGATCCTTTTTAGTTCGATGTCAAAGTGTGTACTATCTATATTATCTTCCAGGAGTTTTACAGTTTCAGGATGTATCTTCAAGTCTTTGATCCATTTTGAGTTTATCTTTTTGTATGGCATGAGATAACGGTCTACCTTCATTCTTTTGCATGTGGCTGTTCAGGTTTCCCAACACCATTTATTGAAGAGACTATCTTTTCTCCATTGTATGTTCTTGGCACCTTTGTCGAAGATTAGCTGTCTGTAAATGTGTGGTTTTATTCTGGGCTTGCAGTTCTGGTCCACTGATCTGTGTGCTTGTTTTTATACCAGTACCATGCTATTTTGGTCACTATGGCTTTGTAGCACATTTTGAAGTCAGGGATTGTGATGCCTCCAGCTTTGTTTTTTTCCCTCAGGATTGCCTTAGCAATTTGGGGTCTTTGGTTGCCCCCTATGAATTTTAGGATTCTTTGCTCTATTTCTGTGAAGAATGTCATTGGGATTCTGATTGGGATTGCATTGAATCTGTAGATTGCTTTGGGTAGTATGGACATTTTAACTATGTTTATTCTTCCAATCCATGAGCAAGGAATCTCTTTCCATCTCTTTACGTCATTATCAATTTCTTTCAGTAATGCTTTATAATTTTCATTGTATAAGTCCTTCACCTCCTTGGTTAAATTTATTCCCAGGTACTTTATTTTAGTAGTGATTGCAAATGGAATTGTATTCTTGAGCTCTCTTTCTGTAAGTTTGTTATTGGAGTAAAGAAAAACAACTTATTTTTGCAAGTTGATTCTGTACCCTGCAACTTTACTGTAGTTGTTAATTATTTCTATTAATTTTCCAATGGATTTTTGGGGGTTTTCTATATATAAGATCATGTTGTCTGCAAACAGCGAGAGTTTCACTTCTTCACTCCCTATTTGGATTCCTTTTATTTCTTTCTCTTGCCTAATTGCTCTGGCCAAAACCTCTAGTACTATGTTGAATAAGAGTGGTGATAGTGGGCATCCTTGTCTTGTTCCTGTTCTCAGGGGGATGGTGCTCAGTTTTCGCCCATTGAGTCTGATGTTGGCTGTGGGTTTGTCATATATGGCGTTTATTATGTTGAGGTAATTTCCTTCTATCCCCATTCGTTAAGACTTTTTACCATAAATGGCTGTTGGATCTTGTCAAATGCTTTCTCTGCATCTATTGAGATGATGATGTGGTTTTTATTCCTCAGTTTGTTGATGTGGTGTATCACGTTGATTGACCTGCAGATGTTGAACCATCCCTGTGTCCCTGGTATGAATCCCACTTGATCATGATGTATGTTCTTTTTGATGTATTGCTGAATTCCGGTTCCCAAAATTTTGCTGAGGATTTTTGCCTCTATGTCCATCAGCGATATCAGCCTGTAGTTCTTTTTTGTGCTGTCCCTGTCAGGCTTTGGTATCAGAATGACGTTGGCTTTGTAGAATGTGTTAGGAAGTGTTCCATCTTCCCTAATTTTTGGAATAGCTTGAGAAGGATAGGTAGTAAATCCTCTCTGAAAGTTTGGTAAAATTCCCCAGGAAATCCGTTTGGTCCTGTGGTTTTATTCTTTGAGATGCTTCTGATTGCTGTTTCAGTCTCCTTCCTTGTGATTGTCTATTCAGATTATCTGTTTCCTCTTGACTCAGCTTTGGGAGGTTGTAAGAGCCTAAGAATTTATCCAAAGAATGAGTAAAAAACCCTTTTTTTTTTTGAGGAAGATTAGCCCTGAGCTAACTACTACCAACCCTCCTCTTTTTGCTGAGGAAGGCTGGCCCTGAGCTAACATCCATGCCCATCTTCCTCTACTTTATACATGGGACACCTACCACAGCATGGTGTGCCAAGCAGTGCCATGCATGCACCTGGGATCTGAACCGGCAATCCCCGGGCCGCCGAGAAGTGGAACGTGCGCACTTAACCACTGCGTCACCAGGTCAGCCCCAAGTAAATAGCATTTTCATGTGTTGGAAGCCCATAGGAGGAACTTGGAATGAAATAAACCTCTTTCCTTCTCAGAAGGAGGACAGCGATTGGAACAGCCAAGACAGAGAAGTAGGAAATAAACTGTTAACTCGGTAACCACTGAATGTCCTTAACTCTCTCGGGGTCCCCAAACCTCATCCAGCCCTCATGTAGACAACTTGGCTGGATAAGATACAGTCCAGGATTTCAACTGGCTTGGAGGTGATGCTTCCGGAAATCTAAGACTGAAAGAAACACTCCCTGCAGGTGATCATGTAAAATGCTACTAGTCAGACTCAGTGAAGAGAGAGGGTATTGCATTCATTCTCCCATTCGCTGAGGTAAATCAGGAAGGCCCTACTTCATCACACTCCTGATCCAGGCAAGGTTTAGTATGGGTACTGCTAAAGCCCAGTTTCAGAACGAAGACTTGGGCTCCACTAAAGTGTTGCAGAGTGAGGCATTAACCCATACCACTCACTTCTCACAAAATTAGGCAGTTTTCCAAAGTGGTCACATCTCAAGTGGCTTGCATCACTTCAAAAGCCTAAAACAGCTGTTTTGCTTGGTGGCCCACTCTCTAGATACCAACAGGCAATATACAAAGGCACCTGGGGGGCCGGCCTTGTGGCGTAGCAGTTAGGTTCACATGTTCCGCTTTGGAGGCCCAAGGTTCGCCAGTTCGGATGCTGGGTGTAGACATGGCACCGTTTGGCAAGCCATGCTGTGGCAGGCGTCCCACATATAAAGTAGAGGAAGATGGGCACGGATGTTAGCCCGGGGCCAGTCTTCCTCAGCAAAAAGAGGAGGATTGGTGGCAGATGTTAGCTCAGGGCTAATCTTCCTCAAAAAAAAAGGTACCTGGTCTTCCAATGTCAGAAAGAATTGACAACAAATGGGATCAACAAGACAGTACTTGACTGGCGAGGGAAAAGGAAAAGGTGCTGGTTTGGGCAACATCATTCACTGAGATTGGGGACATGGTTGCCTCAGAGCAACCATGACATCCATTTTCAAGGCTTGACTCCAGGCACCCTTCTATTCCTACTTTTCACTCTCTCCCTATGTGCTTTCACTCATTTCCTTAGCCCGGATGAGCATGTACATGCCATCAGGTGCAAATACATATGTCTAGTATTTGTTCCAGACCTGTTCTGACCACCGGACCTCTATGTTCAACTGTCTGTCTGGCATCTCCACCTGGATGTCTGAAATCTCTCTTTCTTGCCTCTCTCCCCCCACTTCAGTGCTCCCTAGTTCATAAACGGCACTACCACATGCCCTGCTGCTCAAGTCAGAATCTCCTTCCTCCCTTATATGCAAGTCATCAAGTCTTGCTCAGTCTACTTACCTCTCACCACTCTGCCTTGTTCACTAGGCTCCGTCTTTACCAGCCATCTCTCAGTTCACTGAACACTATGTGCTCTCCTACCAGTGGGCTTTAATACATGCAGCTGTTCCCTATGCTGGGGACACACACCACCCTTCCTTACCAGGACAATGCCTATTCATCTGAAATGAATGAAAGGGCTCATCTCAGACTGGATTAGCCTCTCTAGTTACATAACATGTAGCACTCCATTTCTCTTCTTCAGCGTTCTAAACAATTTCAATTATTTAAAAATTATATTATTTCTAATAATTGGGACCATGTCTGTCTGATTCTCTGCTTACAGTGTCTGGGATACTGTAGGTGTTCATTAAACA